CGCCTGCCCCGCGTCGTCGCTGCGCCAGCCTCGCCTAGCGCACGGGGACAGGTGCCCCGGCCGGGGTCTGCCGGGAAGATGGCGACCCCGGGCATGAGCTGGCAGCAGCACTATTACGGCGGCTCTGCGGCCGGGGCGGCCAAATTCGCGCCCTCGCCGGCCGCTGCGCAGATGGCCGGGCACAGCATGGACTACAGCCAGGACATGCACCTGAAAATGAGCAAGAAGATCGCCCAGCTCACCAAGGTACGGGGGGCGCGGGGGTTCGGGGCTCACCTGGCGCCGGGCGGAGGCGGCTCCTAAGAGAAGCAACAGCCAGAGTTGCCTCCTTGGCCCCGCCAAACTTGGGTGGAACGCTGGCCACCGAACTTGAGCTAGACCGCACCCCGCACCGCGAGGTTTCCAGGGCTTGCACCCGGTTGCCGACTAAGAGTAAACCAGCCTAGAGCACACGAGGGCTTACTTTCCGGGTTCCACGGTAGTAAATGGACTTTCCTGTTGCTCCGGTGTCTCTTGCCAAGGGCTGCACGAGGTACCGCGCTATGAGTACCCGGTGAAGTCCTGGACCGGTTTACCTAACATGACCCGGAATCCTTGGAGTTAATCAGTGTCTGCTCCTGGTTCCCACAGTTAACGGGAGAATAAACTTCCCGAGGTTATTCCGAGGACTGTAGGAGGGTGAAACATACCTTGCGTGCCATTTTAGAGATTTAATGAGTCATTCCTTACTTACCCTGACATAATGTCAAATAAGGTTTATTAGCTGAATCACACTGTGTTTGCATTTAGTAAATGGTTCATCTCATCAGAAGATAGTTTTCAAGAAGCCCATAGATACATCACCTGCACCGTTTTCCAACCGTAGTTGAGGGTGGTATGTCAGTTTGTGAGCTCTTTTTCTAATTTAGTAAAGACTGATAATAAAGGGTGGGTCCGTGTAGATCTTACTAGCAATATAGCGCTGAGTGGAACTGATTTGTGGTTTCTGGAAGTCATTCGCTGTGACCACCTTCCATAAGACTGTTGCAGCTTTGAAGAGAGAAAGGTGGGGTCGCTGCTTGGTAATCTCCTGAGAACTGGCTCAACTCCAGAGCCCCATCATCTCATTTTACTAGAGTTTAAAGAGAGGAAAGGGAATGCTTGTGGGAAGGGAATAAAGACAGGGTACAAACGGTAAAGCTATGTGACTGAGGATACAAAGAAAGATACCATGAAAGGAATAAAAAATGAAGAGATTATAGAAGCATAGATTTAAAAAAAAAATAACAAACAGAAAACACGTGATCATGACTTAAGCCAAGCCAAGCAACACTACCTTTTGTGGAGTTTCTTTTTTGCCTTTTGCATTGTTTGTCTCTGCTCTAAGGGCCATCTCAGAGAAGCTGCTTGTGCAAAGCGTTACTATTTGCTTTTGTGAAGGGTCTCCAAACTCAGAAAGGAAGGAGTAGGATGTAACTCTGGCTACATGTTATCAGAGCATTTCCATGGTTGGAACTAAAAGCCAGGCCTCCCCAGTAGTTCCATCTTCAGAATGCTGGTGGCCATAGCAAGGCTCATGAATATTTGCTCTGACTTTTTTTTTTAATGCTGTGTCCACAACATCCCTTTTCTTATTTTAGATTGTAACTCTTGGAGACTCTTGTAACAAACACTCGTTAAAAGTTAGAAGCAGGACTGTGTGGTATTTAATAAAAGCTGTTTTCTTGAGTAAACTTCTCCTCTTTCTACTCAGACTTAAATTTCCTGTTCTGTTATCAGTAAAAGCAATTCAGCCTGGCTGGCACAGGTGAGATATTAAGGACTTGATCATATCTCTCTCTCTGTCTCTCAGATGTAATGAACCAGGTGCTGCTGGCCCGGCGCTTCCGTGACTGCCGAGCCTTGCCTGCATTCTGATTTTTTGTTTGTAGTTACTGTTTCTAACACCCAGTCTGCTTGAAGTGCTGCCGACATGTCATCCCTTGTACCAGGGTTTCTCGGTGTAACACAGTTGACGTTTTAGATCGGCGAGTTCCTTATTAGAGGGCTATCTTGTGCAGTACAGAGATGCTTAGCAGCATTCTTGCAAATTGTGGGTGCAAATTGTACGTGACTTTGCCCTGCATTTAGAAGTGACAGTACACAAGTCTGCAGACATTACCAAGTGTTCCCTGTGCTGGGTAGTGTGGGAGTCGAGTTGGTAAGGGATGATTACCATGGAGTTGTACTGAAATGCCTAGGGGTTCCCGCCCCCCTCCACCCAAGGCTGACCTTTATATTTCCTAAGATGAAGCCTGTCTAATAACAGTCAAGTACCAGGGCTCCATTACACTCAGTCTCACAAAACCTAAAAGGCAGTGCTTCCCTTATTTATCACTTTAGAAATCGTCAAATTTCGTAGTCACATTGATAAGTTTTGCATTCTGAAGACCTCTCTGCCGACTCAGCAAACCAAATCAGACTGAATTGGAAAAGCCCAGGTTTAATGGGTAAAGCGTTCCGGGCAATTCCCCACCCTGCAGAGAGGAGACTGGGACGTGAGACCGGAAGAACCATGTGTCTGTTTTCTGGGATACAGCCTATATACCCTGCAGGAGTGGTCTTGAGCGTCTCCGTGGGAAGAGCTGTATTTGACAGGCTTTGAAGGGGCAGGTTTAGGGAACGAGATTGGGGAGGGGAGTTGAGGTGGATCTTCTACCAGAACATTCCAGACTCTTTGGGTATAGGGATGCCAGGGTGCCAGGGGTTGAGGTGGAGCTCCCACCCAAACACACATATATGTCATAAGCCAGGTGTCATGAATGTGTGTATAAAAGGATTGCTAGAAGTTTGACATTCCAGTGTATCTGCTGTCTGAGGTTGTTGTAAAGAGTTGACTAGTGAGTTCATGTCAGTCAGAGTAAATTAAATAGAACTATGGTTGGAACTTGATTTTGGCTTGTGTTTCAAAATAGCATTATAGAGGTAACCATCAGAATAGGGACTTGGAGTACTTGCCCGTGCAAACATGGGTATCTGCATTTGATCCCCAGCACCCACATAAAAAAGCCAAGTGCTGGCCGGGCGGTGGTGGCGCACACCTTTAATCCCAGCACTGGGGAGGCAGAGCCAGGTGGATCCATGTGAGTTTGAGGTCAGCTTGGGCTACAGAGTGAGTTCCAGGACAGGCACAAAGCTACCCAGAGAAACCCTGTCCTGAAAAACAACAACAACAAAAAAGCCAAGTGCTGCAGCATGCATTTCAAATCCCAGAGCTTGGGGAGCAGAACCAGGAGGACCCCTGTGGCTTTCTAGACAACTAGTCTAGGTGATGCTCAAGTTTCAGGTTCAGTGAGAGACCCTGTCTCAAAAAAAAAAAAAAATGAAGAGTGATTGAGAAAGACACGTGATATCAGTCTCTGGGCTCCATGCATATACATGTGAGTATAGAAATGCACACCCCCTCTGCACCCCCACCACCACCACCACTGCCATCGCCATCACCACCAACAACCAAAACGCTGAAATGGCCTCTTACTAGAGTTACAGAAGCAGCATGATTAGGAATGTGTGTTATTGATCTCACACACTATCTTGAGTTAGAAAGCTGGCTCCACCACTTACTTTTTAGTGTGTGACCTTAAGCAAGTCACTAACTCCGAGCCTCAGTTTCCTAGGTGTGGCAGAAAGGGTAATGATACTCGAAGAGTTGTAATGGCACATAGTAGGCTCTTAATTCATGTCGTCACTGAAAATACTTCTTATATACCAACACAGTATAAAGAAAATATGGGTAAGATATTTTTAAACACTTTTAAAGGAGTATTCTCAAGTTTAACTTAATTTTTTTTTAAAGACAAGGCCTCACTACATGATTCAGACTCACCTCAAAGGACCAGTGCTCATGAGTCCTGGGCTCACCAAAGGGCTCTGTTCTATGTTTGATAGCATTATTGATACTGTATTTATTTTGAGAGTTTTCTATTCAACTCTATTTTAAAAAAATGTATAGCAGATCTTCTATAAAAATAGCAAAAATTCAAGGCTTCACATTCTGCTTTGCTGTTTGGTTCTACGAAGCGTGCTCCAGAGATTGGACTAGCTCTGATAGGATATGGAAGAAAATTAACTACTTTATAATGTTCCTGGCGAGGCTTCTCTTGTTTCTTTCCATTTGGTCCCAGGGATCACACCCAGAGCCTTGTGAGTGCTAGGCCAGCACTCTGCCTTTGAGCTGTATCCCCAGCCCTTCAGCCTATTTTTAACTAATGACAATACTCACTGTATGAATATTTGCTCAGATTCTGTTTCCTAAGAACCCAGCAGGGCAGCCTTTTCCTGGTGAGAATAGCAATTCTTTGAGCCTGTTTAATAGACGGGGATTTTACCAAGTATTAGAGCAAGCGAGAGTGAGAGAGAGAGAGAGAGAGAGAGAGAGAGAGAGAGAGAGAGAGAGAGAGAGGAAGGAACACAGTCTCTGCCGCGTAAGTCAGGAATATTTAGGTCGTTTGTGTCAAGTTTTGCAAATGAGTGCAGAATTGGTGGTGGATTCGCACGTTATGGCATGTTTCTGAAATTGTTAATGACTGGCTTCTATTTTGATGTGTGAAACCCCCTTTCTGTACTTCTGTATGTTGACTCTTTAGAGTCTTACGTAGGAAAGCAGAGCTTGGGAGCGGGAAGCATAAAACAGCCTTGCTGTCCCTTTCAACTCTGCCCCTCTCCCGCATCCATGCTTTAGTCCCTTTAAATTGACGTCTTAGGACGGGATCGTCTTCGGCCAGGATGGACTTGATTTTTTCTAGTTGTCCTTAGATACTATAGCTCACTCTCCAGCCACAGAAGTCTCAAGTCTGATTGTTGAACTGTCCAGTGCCGAGCATACAATCTTGAGGGCAGATGCAGAGGTGAAGCCGCCTGTCTTGGCTCACCATCTTTAGCCCTTCCTCCTGCCAGAGGGGAGGTAGGTGACTGCGGAAGGGATTCCACGGGCTTCTTTGCTTCTGGCCTGGTTTCTGCTCTTGCCTGCCCTCGTCTCTGATCCCTGTGAAGTGGCCCCGAAGGAAGGGAACAGCTAAGTTCCGTGGAGTCTAACTCTGGTGCTTTCGTAGCATTGGCAGGTGTTTCAAGCTCATCTTCATCTGTGGGTCCTCCGCCTCCTGCCTCCTGGGTGGCTTGAGATTTCCACTTTCGCCTCCCCAACCATAAAAAAAATGCATCTAAGTTCTGACTGGTCCCCTGCTCAGCCTCTTGGGGCTGGATTACCTTCCTCTTCATTTTGTTATGGT